GCTGATGAGCTCCAATAGCCCATCACCTCTGAGATAGTTGGTAGTGTAAGATAATGTAGTGTTATTGAAGGTTTGTGTTGGAGCAGCTGATATGAACACTAAACCAGTGCTACTAGTTTGTAGAGAATAAGTGACATCTGAGGACGCCCTCTAGTGGAGTTCATAACAAACTGCAGCCTGTGGCCTCATGAGGACATGCTCTTAATAAATAACTACAGTCTGATGCTGAAGCACATTATATTAATGCAGAATAATGAGATCTACGTCTGATTGGTACAAAGTAAAAAGTATTGTACTTCAACTACTTCTAAAAAGGGAGAATCACAGAGAAGCTCATTAATCTACTGCTGTGGTGCAAACAGAAGAGTTTTTCAGATAATCCCACAATTATTCTAAACCCGCAGAGGAAGTTTATGTAATCATCTCATCTAATGAACTTTCCACCAAAAAACTGAAGATCCAAGTTTTCCAATCGACCACAACATGATGCATTTAACTTTCTTTTTAGTATAAAAAAGGACTCAGATCTAAGACCACCTGAAACAGCTCCAGCATTAACCTCATAATAACATCATAGTTTTCACACATCATGATAGTTTTAGTTTGAAGCAGTATTTGATTTACTAATATTGACACTATTATTGTATTATTATTATATATTGACCCAAGGGAGAGAGAAGAAATGCAGATTGCTGATATGTGAAAAGATCAAATAAGAGTTTGTAACACGCCGTATAAAAACACATTTTACAGTACAGCCCCAAATCAACCACTCATATTAATACTGAATGAGGGGCGGTACATGCATGAAGCTGTGGATTTAATGTAATGAATTATTTATTGCTGATGGACGGCGTTTACATCGTTTTTCTGATTCTGATCAATGTGTTTCCTTTATGTATTTCTGTCCATGCTTTTTTTTGATCACAATGTCACATTGCTACTAATTACTACAACACACCGATTTTACCAAACTGATGATATTATTTAATCTTGTGTCATCCTTTCTAATAACTGCATTACCTGCCTTCAACACTGTTAAATCATCAAAAACAATGTGCTCAGAAATAATACTTCATTGATTTTTATTTTCTTTTCTTTTTCATGTTTTTTAATTGTCTGGGTTCCAAATTCAAATCTTTTTATTTTCTGATCATTGTATATACAGTGGTGTGAAAAAAAGTATTTGCCCCATTCCCGAGTTCTTATTTTTATGAATGTTTGTCACACTTAAATTTTTCAGATCAAACTAATTTAAATATAAGACAAAAGTAACACAAGTAAACACAAAATGCAGTTTTTAAATGAAGGTTTTTATTATTAACTGGGAAAAAATCCAAACCTACCTGGCCCTGTGTAAAAAAAGTAATTGGCCCCTAAACCTAATAACTGGTTGGGCCACCCTTAGCAGCAACAACTGCAATCAAGTGTTTGCGATAACTGGCAATGAGTATTTTACAGTGCTGTGGAGGAATTCTGGCCCACTCTTCTTTGCAGAATTGTTGTTATTCAGCCACATTGGAGGGTTTTTAAGCATGAACCGCCTTTTTAAGATCATGCCACAGCATCTCAATTGGATTCAGGTCAGGACTTTGACCAGGCCACTCCTCAGCCATTCAGAGTTGGACTTATTGATGTGTTTTGGATCATTGTCCTGCTGCAGAACCCAAGTGCGCTTTGGCTTGAGGTCACAAACATATGGACATTTTTCTTCAGGATTTTCTGAGCAGAATTCATGGTTCCATTAATTACAGCAAGTCTTCCAGGTCCTGAAGCAGCAAAACAGCCCCAGACACTGCAACTACCATGTCTGACTGTTGGTATGAAGTTCCTTTTCTGAAATGCTATATTACTTTTACACCAGATGTAATGGTACACATACCATCAAGATGTTTTTTGTGAGACGAGCCTTTATGTTCTTTTTGCTCATCAGTGGATTTCATCTTGGAACTCTGCCATGCTTGCCATTTTTGCCCAGTCTCTTTCTTATGGTGGAGTCATGAACACTGACCTTAACTGAGGCATTTTGGTCGGCCGGCCACCCCTGGGAAGGTTCACCACTGTTCCATGTTTTCGCCATTTGTGGATAACGGCTCTCACCATGGTTCGCTGGAGTCCCAAAGCCTTAGAAATGGCTTTGTAACCTTTTCCAGACTGATAGATCTAAATTACTTTGTTTCTCATTTGTTCCTGAATTTCTTTGGATCGCAGCATGATGTGTTGCTTTTTGAGATCTTTTAGATTACTTCACTTGGCAGACAGGTCCTATTTAAGTGATTTCTTGATTCAATAGGTCAGGCAGTAATCAGGCCTGGTTGTGGGTGGTGAAATTTAACTCTTCCAAAAATGTGGTTAATCACAGTTAATTAACAACCATTTTCGGCTGGCTTTGATAAGGGGGCGGAGTTCGCATCAGCTGTGTGCTTGGCCATCAAGTGGTATTTCAGACTGGACGTGCTGCGATGATAGCTCAGTTCACAACCACAAAACACACAGATCACTTTGGTCTTGTCAATGGAACCATTAGGCAACTTTTTAAAAGTAAACTTTCCATTCAGAATATTAGTGGCATCCATTTCAGCATCTCACGCTCGCCATCCACTCAAAACGTTAACGTCTACTACTCTTAAACAAGTGTGTGCGGCGTGCCTGTTGTTTTGTTTCCGGTCTAGCTAGATCCGGTGTGGTGTTGTAGTTTTTCTAACATTACTAGTTGTTGCAACAGCATGTGAAAAACTACAAAGTGTGCTAGGCCAAAAAAAAAATTGACGCTGTTAAAATGGGTTTGCGTTAACGCCGTTAATAACGCGTTTAACTGACAGCACTAAATAAAACCTTCATTTAAAAACTGCATCTTGTGTTTACTTGTGTTATCTTTGTCTAATATTTAAATATGTTTGATGATCTGAAACATTTAAGTGTGAAAACCATGAAAAAAAATAAAGAAATAAGAAGAGTCTTTGAGGATTGTGTACATTCAGAACAGTGGTGAGTGTTGTTAAAGGACTTTTAGGGGGTTTTAAAATCACATTTGTTGTAAAATCAGATATTTAGCTCTGTGCCTTGAATGTAATGGTAATACATTAGTAATGGTAATACATGAGAGGCACAAACTGGGCAGACATTAAACCACCAACTAAATACAGCAATAAACACAGAGAATAATGTTGACTAATGATCACAGAGTTCAGAATCTGTACATTTAAACAACACTGGGACTAAATAATGGCAGGAAACTGTCAGTGATGAAGCTAATGAGTGATACAAACTGGCTATAATACAAACAGGAGATATTTTTCACCAGTAAAACCTTTCCACTGTTTTCATGAACACACACAATAAACTGTCCATTACCCATCCACTGCTCTCCTGTTGCTGCAGTGACTGACTGAGAAAGCGCACACTGTTTCTGTGCAACTCACATTTTAGTCCACTAGGTGTCACTGCCGGCCTTTCCAACACATATAGCTGATCAATAACTAATATCTGACCCACTCAGCTCTGACTCTCTGCCAGTCTGACAGGATTTTCACATGTTTTAACACACATGTTAGTTAGTAAAAACTAAGGTTAACTAAGTAAAACTACATAAATTAAATATATACACTACCGGTCAAAAGTTTTAGAACAACCCAATTTTTCCATTTTTTTTTTTTTTAAATTCAAGCAGTTCAAGTCCAATGAATAGCTTGAAATGGTACAAAGGTAAGTGGTGAACTGCCAGAGGTAAAAAAAAAAAAAAAAGATAAGGTTACCCAAAACTGAAAAATTATGTACATTTCAGAATTATACAAAAATGCCTTTTTCAGGGAACAAGAAATGGGTTAACAACTTAAAGCTGTTCTGCAGCAATGGAGGTTAATCAAGCCATGAAAGTTGGTGCAGCCAATTCCCACAGGTGTCCCAAATTGTCTTGATTTCTTACAACCCCCTCTGTCTGCAAAAAAGTAGTGTTGGAACACACTGTGGTACCATACCCTTGTGAGCATTGTTTGAACAGTATTGTACTGCAGAAAGTAGTGTGTTGGTATAAAAATTACAAGACAAGGGCAATTCACAATGTAAGAGAGACAGACCATCATAACACTTAAAAATGTAGGTCTTTCCTACAGAGAAAATGTGAAGAAAGTCAAGGTGTCAGTGAGTACAGTCCTTCACCATCAAAAGGCATTAAGAAACTGAGGGAAACTCTGACAGGAAGAGGTCTGGCAGACCCAAACCCATAACAGAATCAGAAGACAAGTTTCTGAGAGTCAACAGCTTGCGTGATAGGCGGCTCACAGGACAACAGCTTCAAGCTCAGCTTAATAGTGGTCGTAATAAGTGTCAGTTTCAACTGTAAAGAGAAGACATCGAGCTGTAGGTCTGACAACGCAAGAAAGCAATTGCTAAGATATCAGAAGGCGAAAGGATGGTTCCTCAGTGTGTGTCATCAATTGTCAAACATGACAGGAAGCATGATGGTCTGGGGCTGTTTTGCTGGATCCAGGGTCGGTGACTTGTACAGAGTGAGAGGCACCCTGAACCAAAACGGCTACCACAGCATTCTGCACCGCTGTGCAGTACTCTCTGGTATGAGTGTAGTTGGTCAGGGGTTCATCCTACAGCAAGATAATGGCCCAAAACATAAGTCCAAGCTATGCCAGAACTACCTTAGGAAAAAAGAAAAAGATGGTAAGCTTGAAAACATGGAGTGGCTGACTTAAACCCCATTGAGCTGGTTAGGGATGAACTGGACCGAAGAGTGAAAGCAAAGCAACCTAGTGCCACAAATTTATGGGAGCTTCTGTAACAGAGTTGGGAAGAACTTTCTGAACATTTTTTTGACCGATAGTAAATAATAAACAGGTTCTGATTTATAGAAGGACTTACAATAAGGACTACTTTTATTTATTTCAGGGGACTTGTTTTTATGATGAGGTCATATACAAATGAAGGGGCGTGGTTATCTCACAGAGCAGCAGAAGCTAAACTTCAGTGACACATTTCCTGTAGTGAAAGTTTGTCTGAAGACAGCAGAGCTGCAGTGGAGACAAGTCTCTCTGTTTGTCTCTGAAGACAAATTCAACTGAATCCATCAGGTTTTTCTCAACTAAACAGCAGAATCTCTGCCAACCTCTGGTGAGTCCACTGCCCTACAGAGCTTGTTACAGTCTGTTATAGCACATACAGATAGAAGGAAGGAGCTAAATCCAACCAAACAATGAAAACACACCACAGAAACTAGTCCTGCTAAAAGCTAACTGGCCTATTAGCTGTCCTTTAGATCCAAAGTACAGAGTACAGTATGTGATCATCTGACAACCTCTGTTATTGCTTATAAAGGAATAAAACTGACGTTTTACAGCTTCTAGCTTCCTGCTGTCTGTCTCTGGGAGGCAGTATGTGCTGTGTAATGGAGGGATCAGATTGTGTTTTTAGGGTTTAAAATGTTATTGTATTGTGATTTTACAGATTTAAATGATGATATTAACAAGAACCAGAGGGCTTGGGATGACATTACTGCAATGAGTATGACATCACATTAGTTTATCATTAATTTCTTCTTTTTTCACTATAACTTGAATAAAAAGCAGCTGATAGCAAAATGCTGCAGTCGTATCATTGACAAACACAAATACAATGCTAACCTAAGAATACAATTTTTTTTTAATTAAATACACTACTCACAAAAAGTTAGGGATATTCCACTTTCGGGTGATATTTAATGAAAATGTAAAAAGTTGATGCTACAGTGATATTATATCATGAAAGTAGGGCATTTAAGTAGAGAAGTTCAAGTTAAGGTCACCTGGAAAGGTTATAGTGCATTTTATGTACATTCTGAAATTTCATCCGAAAGCCGAATATCCCTAACTTTTTGTGAGTAGTGTAAATATAGGCCTCTATACAACTGAAAAATAATTATTAGAAAGACAAATAGAGCAATTAGTCTTTTATTAATGAACAAAATATCTAATGATTACTGTACACAAATTGTGGAAATGTGTTCATTAAATTAATAAACGACCGTCAATCAAAATCACTGCAGGCAGCAACATTTAAGTGAGTTTGACAATATTTACATCAATGTCTCCTTTTTGTTTCCCATAAAAATGTGTAGAATGTTCACTAATGTATGAATAATTAGATTTAGGCTTTAATGGATGATATATTTCTGAGTAATATTTATAGAAAAGGTTGTTTTTCTTCAGTCAGCCAAACTTAATGATTTGGAATGAAGATCACAATGTTATCACTCATCTCATAGAAATACCACCACTGAACTGCACATCTGAGCTCTCCTTCACTCGCAGCATAGTTTGGTTTTATTGAACATATAATGAAAAAAAAAAAGTAATTACTGTTTTGTTTTTTCTTTTAATACTCAGTGTAGTTATGTCTGCTGCCAGCTGTCTACTGACTGAAGATCAGTTTCTGTGCTCCATCTGTCTGGATGTGTTCACGCATCCAGTCACCATATCATGTGGACACAACTTCTGTAAAACCTGCATCACTGAACACTGGAATATTAATGTCCCGTGTCAATGTCCAAACTGTAAAAAGGTTTTCTACACAAGACCTGAGCTGCAGGTCAATACTTTAATCTCTGAGATGGCTGCTCAGTTCAGACAGTCAGCTCCACAGAAAGCCAGCAGCAGCAGCTCAGAACAACAAGTTTCCAAACTAGAAGCTGAAATTCAGAAGAGACGACTGAAGATTCAGGAGATCAAACGCTCAGTGGAGCTCAGTAAGGAAGGTGCAGACAGAGAGATAGCCGATGGTGTTCAGGTCTTCACCGCTCTGAAGGAGTCTGTTGAGAGAAGCCAGGCCGAGCTTATCGACACGATCAAAGAGAAGCAGAGAAAGACAGAGAAACAGGCTGAAGGCTTCATCAAAGAGCTGGAACAGGAAATCTCTGAGCTGAAGAAGAGAAGCTCTGAGGTGGACCAGCTCTCACAGTCTGAAGACCACCTCCACCTCCTCCAAAGCTTCCTGTCCCTGAACGCTGCTCCACACACCAAGGACTGGACAAAAGTCAGAGTCCGTCAGCCTTCATATGAGGGGACTGTGAGGAGAACTGTGAATCAGCTGGAGAAGACGCTCAATAAACAGATGAAGAAGCTGTTTGAGATCGAGCTGAAGAGGGTCCAGCAGTATGCAGTGGATGTGACAGTAGATCCTGATACAGCACATCCTGCTCTCATCCTGTCTGATGATGGAAAAAAAGTTAAACATGATGATGTAAAGAGGAATCTCCGAAACAATCCAGAAAGATTTGATCGTTGTCCCTGTGTCTTAGCAAAGCAGAGTTTCTCTTCAGGAAGATTTTATTACGAGGTTCAGGTTAAAGGGAAGACTAAGTGGGATTTAGGTGTGGTCAGAGAGTCGATCAACAGGAGGGGAAAAATCACAGTTAGACCTCAGAATGGTTACTGGATGATATGTTTGAGGAATGAAAATGAGTACAAAGCTGCTGCTGACCCTTCAGTCCATCTCACTCTGAAGTCTCAGCCTGAGAAGGTGGGGGTGTTTGTGGATTATGAGGAGGGTCTGGTCTCCTTTTATGACGTTGATGCTGCAGCTCTTATCTACTCCTTTACTGGCTGCTCCTTCACTGAGAAACTCTACCCATTCTTTTGTCCCAGTCTTAATTATGGTGGTAGAAACTCTGTCCCTCTGGTCATCTCTCCTGTCAATCACACTGAGTAGAACAACCATTTGATTTTCTACTGAAAGATTCACATCATTTAATGTAATAAATGTATATTTATTGGTGAGATACAGTGTTTAAATTTACTTTTTTCCAGATTCTGATCAATATGGGTTTTTTTCTTTGATGTGTCACATTACTACTTATTACTACAACACACCAGTTTGACTACACTGATTGATATTATCTAATGCAGTCCAGTTCATTCTAATAACTGCATTACCTGCCTTCAAGACTGTTAAATCATTAGAAAACGTATAAATAAACATTTTCATGTTCTTTAAATGTCTGGGTGCCAAATTAAACCTTTTTATTGTCTGATCTTTGTATATATAAGAACTGTTGCATACTGACACAAATTACTGAACAAGAGCTAAATAAAGTTTTGATTGTATTTGATTCATTTATTTTGTTTTTGATTGATATCAAAGCTGAAAAACAGCTGATGGTGTTTCTAATGAGCACCAAATCATGTGATTAAAAACAGCATCAGCTGATGAGCTCCAATAGCCCATCACCTCTGAGATAGTTGGTAGTGTAAGATAATGTAGTGTTATTGAAGGTTTGTGTTGGAGCAGCTGATATGAACACTAAACCAGTGCTACTAGTTTGTAGAGAATAAGTGACATCTGAGGACGCCCTCTAGTGGAGTTCATAACAAACTGCAGCCTGTGGCCTCATGAGGACATGCTCTTAATACATAACTACAGTCTGATGCTGAAGCACATTACATCAATGCAGAATAATGAGATCTACGTCTGATTGGTACAAAGACAAGAAAGACGCAATACAAGTACAGGTCCATTTACCATTTACGACTCCTGTCTGGGTTTTTGTTTATCTTCATCACACAGCTTGTAAAGTTCTCACTGCATCATATATGTCTGTGATCATGTGTCCCTGACCCTGAAGCTGGAGGTTAAGTGCAGTGAGATGCTTTGTTATATCACACCAAAACGCCAGCTCACACCGCCACTGTGGAGCTCTGTGGCGTCTTTCCCTTTGCTTAGCCATCGCACCTCTGTGTGATAGGGCACATCAGCATGTTCAGATTATCTTACTTGTCCTCTACTGTCACCTCCAGGCCAAAAAGTTCTGAGGGCTGACATTAAAGAACCCCTTTGACTAACAACAAGACTTGTTCCAGTGCCATCCCCAGGCCAATCTTTTAAATTTAAATTAATTAGATTAATAAAGTTATCTCTGTGAGTTACATCCATCAACAATCCATTTTTTGGCTTGTTTAATTTGTTTTTACCTGCTCTTAAGGGGACAGAGGAACTCCTGGACCACCTGGACCAGCAATAATGTGTGGACAAGGTGATTATCTTTCAGAGAATTTTTCTACCTTATAGAATTCTTTCATCGGTTAAGTACTTGCTGTGTCATTTATTACAATTCAGCATGCAGACAATAGTTTTCTGTTATTATTGTGGGAAGTTGTTCCTTCCTGAGCGAGGAAGTTTTACACTAGTTGTTGTTGAATGGGGCTGACATGCATAAGTTTTGGACACAGAAAATGCTTTTCGAGTTTGTTAAGACACATTTTTGGATTCAGGTCTGTGTTACATTTTAAGCCTTATAAACCTGACAGTGATTTAACCCTTTAAGAATTAGATTTTTCCCCTATAAAATGATCTTATACCTCACTGTGTGACAGTATCAGATATATTGTGCATCTGCTTGATCTAGCTCTTCTCCAAACACATATAATGTTTAGTGATACATTGAAACCCAATACTCAAATGGAAATATACTAGATGTCATGTGCATCATTGTAAAGTCATTTCCCCCAAATTTGTTCGGAAATAATTTAAAATGAACAGTTGGGGCTGGAGCTGAGAGGACTAGTCATCGATAAGTAATCATAAGTATCATAAGTCGTAGTCTTTACAAGAACTCAGTTAATGAACTAATCACTTTAGCACTAACTATCTCCGATGACCAGAGTTGAATTAATATTTTCAGTATTTCAGCTCTGGTTTGGATTATGTTGTAAGGTGAATGTTACTGTGAAGGAAAGGAAAAGATTAGCCTTTCTTCTGTGAGATCCAGTTTATTGCAAGTTTGGTAACTGAATTTACTCTCCTTAATCCAGATCGCCTTGATTCTGCTATCCGGGAGACTGAACACTTAAAGAAGAGCTTTGCTAAGTTAGAGCTCGGTAAGTATCCTATTCAAGGACTACAAGGGAGTATTAAAGGAAGTGAGCACATGTGGATGGAGAAATATAGGTATACCTTATTCTTCTGTGTACGTAGGATGTTTGAGAAAACATTAACTAAATATTTTCAGTTAAATGCTGCTGCACTGGACTCCATTAATCTCATTTAGATGAAGGAGATTATTTATTTACAGTATACACTGCTTTATTTGGAATGGGCAATCCAAAAACATGTAAAGAATCATAAATATTTCAGTTTTGTTTTTTTATTAAACATCGGATTTGGAAGTTGAAGTGGGTAAAATGTAGCTACAGTATGGTTCAGTAGACACAGGCCTGTATTTCCCCTCGGTGAGGAGGTCAGAGTGTCTGATGCTGAATGTCGATGCCAGGATGGTGATACAGCTTAAAGTTTATGAGAAACAAATATGTATATGTGCTGATTGATTCCTGATTCGCTGCTTGCTGTTTTCTTTTTGCAGCTATAAACTATGACTTTGTCCGAAGAGTTGGTCAGAAATACTTTGTGTCCTACAAGGAGAGACACTCGTTCTCCAGGGCCGTCGAGTTCTGCTCCCAACAAGGTTTAGATCTGGCTTTGCCCCAGAACGAGGAGGAGAACATTGCACTGACTCAGTTCTTTGGGGACGTTAACAAAGAAGCCTGGATCAACGTCAATAATAAAAAAGCAGAGGGGAACTTTGAGGCAGATATGAATAACCGACCTCTGACCTTCACCAAATGGGGAGAAGGGCAGCCAGACAAATCCATTGAGGCTACAGGCTGCACCATGCTGTCAGAAAATGGCGTCTGGCGAGTGACACACGAGTGCTTCCTGAATGCTTACATTATTTGTCAGTTATAGAGAGTTCTTGTACCCTACAGAAGATTAGGGCCACATGTGAACAATGTATGTGAGTTCTGAGTTTAAATTAAAAAAAATTTAATTTCAAAAGTCAAAATTCTTGTTTTAATCTCAGAGTTCTGACTTTAAAGGTCCAGTGTCTGACATTTAGGAAGATCTATTGGCAGAAATGGAATATAATATTCATTATACGTTATTCACCTAATCTACAGAATACAAAAAATGCTCCCATTGTGTAAAGGTCTTAAGGTCTTACGATAAAGTTAAATAAAGTTCCTGTTTATAAATGCCACCAAGTCTCACAACCATCCTTCATCATCAGAACAATCCGGACTGCTAAAACTAGCTACCAGCTACGAGCTAGGCTAAATCAGCCTAAAGAAACCAGTGCACTCCAAAAGTAGTTTTTTGGTGCCAAAAATCACGCAGGTTAAGCCATCACAAGTCTATAACAATTACACACAGTCATATGAGAGAAACGTATCTTTCTGCATGTGGGAGTGTGTGTGTGTGTGTGTGTGTGTGTGTGTGTGTGTGTTGATCTTAAACTCCTAATGCTCATTTTATACTTAGATTGTTGTCTTTACTTATATTTCTCTTACAGCCCATTGTGTTGTTTGATTTTGGCTCTTTTACCCCTGTGAAATCCATCATCCTCTGAATATCAAAACCAACATGTAGCTGCCAAGAAGTCACTGGCCTGAGGTCAGGCATCCTTTCCACAGAGATCTCTGCAGAGGAAATTATAATGTGTTGAGTAATGTTCCCGGTCCTCTTGAGCAAACCATTAATCTCCGCCTCCGCTGTAATGTGCTTGAAAACTCCATTGTGACCAACTGTATGAATGCAAAGTTAAGCATACTTGGCAAACTCTTGGTTGAAAAAATTATGATTTAAATAAAAATATTGTCAGGTTTACCTTAAACACTCACAGGATAGTTGTTATCATTATTCCCTGCCATTATTGGTTAAAGAAAAGGCAGGTTTTTGGACCTAGTAATATCCCCAACTGAGACTTTGCATCTGTTTACTTTGGACTGAATCCTTCATACATGAGTTCTCCCTCGACTCTCAGTCATTTCTCTTTGGAAGGACTCAAGAAGCAGCACCACCAGCAAACCACTCCAAGTTCACACAGTGAGTACTTCTCTGCTTATCACTATTTTATACTAGTTTTAGTGTCATTAAGACCTTTTGAATGTCTTTACAACAGCATAGTGTCTGTTTAGTGCTATGCAATGCATTAGAAGTAAATACGTATAACTTTAGGAAAATAAATGTAGCCACTGATTTTTGTATATAGAACAGTTTTTTGGAATATCTGCAAATACCACGTCCATAAATATGTGAATGAGATGACAATGAGCTGTGAACTATTGGAGACATGTAGATTTTAGTTTTTGGTATTAATGAACACGTCTCACTTCATTTTATTTACTTTGAATTAATGGTTGAAAATGATGATGAAAATATTTCTGATGGAGCTCTATAAAGGAAAATTCTTTAATGTATTTCCTATTTCAGTTCTGCACTGAGAAGATGAGGCTGTTTCTTTTATCCTGCATCCTCTGCCTAATGGCTCCAATTGGCAACAGTCAGCTTCATGGTCCTCCTGGTCCTTCTGGTCCCAAAGGTGACAGAGGTTATCCTGGCATCCCTGGGGTACCTGGACCAGCTGGGGTAAGCGGAATGCCCGGAATCCCAGGTCAAAAAGGTGGGTGTTAATTCACCACTGTTATTTTCCCAACAATGTCATTTCAGATCAAACTTCAACCGTCTTTTGACTGAACTCTGGCAGCTCCCTGTTGAACGAGAGGAGTTTCTTTGTAGCTACAATCCTAAAATCTGCCTCCAACCTCCCTTAGATTCTCCCATGTACCCTTCCAGATAGTTAATTCCAGGACTGGGCAATAAAACAATCTTGACACAGGATCTTAATAAAAAGCATTGTTTGAGCTACAGTGAAGAAAGTGAAAGTGAAAGTTGATGTTCTCTGGAAAGAAGGTAAAAAAAGCAGAACAGGGGGGCAAGAAAGCACCTTTTGCTTCTCTCTGTCGCTTCCTGTTTGCACTATGGCGGAGGGTCTATTTTGTATATTATTAAGCGCAACAAAATAATATAAGTGCAACAAAAGAGCCACAGTATGATGAAAACAGCTGCAAACAGCTGTTGAAGAACCAGAACACAAACCCACAAAGATATCCTTGTGCTAAAGTTCTGAAGGTGAACTTGCGTCATCCTCCAAAGACAAGGAAAAAGGTAACACAATGGCCATTCTACCAAAGTGGTTTTGAAATCTCAGAGGTGACAAAGTGCAGATTCAGACGGTCTGCAAAACATGTTGTCGGTCGGTTCCAACCAAGACGGGAAACACTACAAATCTTTTCCTTCACCTGAAAAGGTACCATCCCAGCCACCACTCCATCACTTTATTAAGTTACGAGGCAGGCTAACTTGTGTTGTCTTGTTAAGGTAGAGAAACATCCAGGACACAACCTGCTCCATGCTGTCAACCTTTAATTGTTTAACATCTATTACCCCACTCTTCAGGGGATCAGGGATCATCAGGATTTCCTGGAGTACCAGGAAGTCCTGGAGAACCCGGACGACTTGGACAACCTGGACGACCTGGAGACCCCGGACGACCCGGAGAACCCGGATCCAACATGATGTGCAGACAAGGTCATTATGGATTTTGTGTTTATTTCTTTATTATCCTGCAGAGGGAAATGTTAGCAGACATGGACACACTAGTTGTTAAACAAAGGCAGAGCTGGCAAAAGTACTCACATTCTTAACACCATAATGAATATACACTAAATGACAGCCAGCGGCGGCCGTAACACTCCCCCCCTTAAATTACAAGCCCTTGCGGCTTGACGTCAAGGTTACATACATAACACATAGCTAAGCTCTACAGCCTAGACAAAGCATCAGCGATCACATTTTCAGACCCCCTTTTATGACGGATGTCGAGGTTGAAGTCTTGGACCAACAGTGCCCACCGCATGAGTCGTTGGTGGTGATTAAACATGCGGGACAGAAAAACAAGGGGATTATGATCAGTGAACACTGTAACAGGTAGAGAAGTAGACCCAACATAGACCTCAAAGTGCTGTAGTGCTAACAACAGAGCAAGGGTTTCCTTTTCAATGGTGGAATAATTTGCCTGGTGTCGGTTGAACTTGCGGGAAAAGTAAGCAACAGGGTGATCAATGCCATCCTTCCCCCTCTGTAATAGGACCGCACCAGCGCCCACTGCGCTGGCATCTACTTCGAGCTTAAAAGGGCGTGGAAAAGTCAGGGGCCGCGAGCACAGGAGCGTGACTTAACAAAGTCTTTACACCATCGAATGCTACCTGGCATTCTGGGGTCCATACATAGTCTACTTTAGGGCTGAGTAAGCTTGTTAGTGGAAAAGCGATACTGGAGAAGTTGCGGCAGTAACTCCTATAGTAGCCAGCCATTCCCAGGAACCGACGCAGCGCTTTACGTGTGGTTGGAACGGGGAAATCCCTAATGGCAACGATCTTCGCCTCAAGGGGGCGCACTTGTCCCTGTCCAACCTGCTGACCGAGATAGGTTACGGTGGCTTTTCCAAATTCGCACTTTGCCAAATTTAGAGTCAACGTAGCGCGGGCCAAACGGTCAAAAACCTGCTCCAATACATGCATGTGGTTCTCCCAGGTATCTGAATAAATGATTAAATCATCGAGGTAAGCGTTGCAGTTTGGCAAACCGGACAATACAGTGTTAACTAGTCTCTGGAATGTAGCAGGAGCGTTACACATACCAAAAGCCATCACATTTTACTGGCAGAAATGATCAGGGGTGACAAATGCGGAAATCTCTCTGGCACGGTCTGTTAAAGGTACCGGCCAATAACCTTTTAGCAAGTCTAACTTGCTAACGAAATTTGCAGTGCCCAGGTTATCAATACAATCCTCCATGCGAGGGAGAGGGTACGAATCTCGAACAGTAACAGCATTTACTTTGCGGAAGTCTGTGATAAACCTGGGAGACCCATCGGACTTAGCTTCTAGCAAACACGGCGAACTCCACGGACTGGAACTTGCAGAAGCAAAGTTATTTTGTAGGAGATACTCTACCTCCTGTTTCATCAACTGACGTTTAGTCTGATTGGCACGGTAAGCATGTTGTTTTATGGGACGCGCATCTTTTACCTCTATATCATGTTTCAAGACAGAAGTGCGGGTTGGAACATCACTGAATAGACTATAATACTGTTCAATCAGCACCTCCAGGTCACGTTGCTGTTCAGCAGTTAAATGCTGCAAACAGCATGACAGGTTTGCAAGCATTTCCGAATTTGGAAGGCGAACCGGCTGTTGTGTAGGGACGTGCATTGGTGGACCATCTTCGTGGGAAGCGCCCACAGATTCTGTCACAATGATAGCAGCAGCTTTAACATCTGACGGTTCGGCTACTAAGGGCGAGGGAACAGCAGAGCTAACATTGTCCTCGCAGGACTGGTAACGTTTCAACATGTTTATGTGACAGACCCTAGTCTTACGCCTTCTGTCTGGAGTACAGAGTACATAATCAGTGTCGCTAAGACGCTCTTTAATGGCATACGGACCGGAGAATTTAGTGGCGAAAACGGAGCTGGTGATGGGCAGCAACACCAGAACTTTATCGCCCACCTCAAAACTGCGAGATACAGCGGAACGATCGTAATAGCGTTTCATGGTGGATTGTGAGTCACTAAGGGTGGCTTTAGCGAGGATATTAACTCGTTGAAGGCGCTCACGGAACTGGGTGACGTAGTCTAACGCGTGCTTTTTGGGCGCAGACTCACAAGACAAGAACTGTTCGTGCAGTGACTTAAGCGGCCCACGGGGTGTGTGGCCGAAAACAAGCTGTGCAGAACTAAAGCCAATTGATTCCTGCACAGCGTCACGGGCAGCAAACAAGACAAAGGGAACTCCCTCATCCCACTGTTTCTCAGTCTCGACACAGTACTTCCTGAGCATCGACTTTAGCGTCTGATGCCAGCGCTCTAAAGCTCCTTGTGATTGGGGG